GGTTCTTGACACAGTCATAGATGTTTTAATCCTTCCAGAATTGCATCAGTGTCTTCTCATTGTCTTCCTCAGTTGCAGCAATAGCCTGGGCAAAGTTCTTTCTCAGGTCATAGGCCTTAAAATCTTCTATAACTCCTTGATCCATTTGTTGGATCAAACAGGTGGTGTTTGTATGGAGAGGTATCGTTTTGATGTTGGGATGAAGATCACCAATAAATGGAGGATGTTGGGGAGCCTTATCAACAATAAGCAAAATCTTGAAAGGTATGTTATTTTCCAAACAGTACTTCTTCATTTCACTGGCATAACGATTCAGGAGTGTGTCTTGGGAGAGGAGCTGGGCCATCCATGACTTCTTATTGCTTCTGTAGTATACTGGCAGTGTGTATTGATATGCTTGAAGGTCTGGGGTTCTCACTCTGCCAGATTACAAAGGGTTTTAATTCGTAGCCTGCAACATTGCCCCCAAGCAAGGCTGCTATCCTGTCCTTAAAAGCCTTGAAACCTGGCATTGACTTGGCCTCCTTATGGATGATAGTCTTTTCAGGCATCCATTTCCAGAATAGGGAAGTTCATCCATATTAAGCTTTTGCTCTGGCAAGCAATTTTCCTCCACTATCAACTCGTCTAGAGTTTCCAAAAATTCTTTATCTGCCTTCACATCAGGACTCACAGACTCACCACTCACTTTCACATTATGCAATGAATAACGATTCTTCAGTCTTTTAAACTACTCACAGCTAGCAGTAAATTCAACATCATAGTTGGGTCCAGCCCTTTCTTTCAACATGGCAAACTTTTTGCTTTGGGCCTGATCATCATGTTGCTGAGAGGGATGCACTTCTGGGTCTGGTCTTCAATCCAGGTCATTAGAAGTTTCTCCATGTCTGATATAGGTCCTTGTTGAATTTTTGTTAGTCTTGTTGTCTTCAGTGAAGCAGATCCTTTAACAGCTTCCATCACTTTGTTCTTGTTCTTCAAGATTGTAGCTCTGGTGGAATGGGATGTGCCTGTCCAGCAAGAAATAACCATCACTGATTTTCCACCTTCATCACTTTTAATTTAGTTTCCAGATCAATCTCTCGATATGACCTCTTACTGGCAACATTAGCAGTGGATTCTGTATGCTTAGGGGCCATGATGAACAAAACAGCATGAGATTAAATCAAGCACAAGAGAAAATGATGCAATCAAGAGACATGATAAACATGAGATGTATGAGGTTGCTGCCTGCATAACATGACATACTGTTTTATGGTAAACTCTTTATAAGTAGAAAGAGTACACTCTAAAGTAACAATAAAAAGTATAGTATAGTAAATACAGTCATGCATTGCATAAGGACATTTTAGTCAATGATGGACTGCGTATATGACAGTGGTCCCATAAGATTAATATCATATAGCCTTGGTATGTAGTAGGCTATATCATCTAGATTTGTATAAGTACACTCTATGATGTTCGCACCAGGATGAAATCACCTAACAGTGCATTTCTTAGAACATATCCCCGTTGGTAAGTGATGCGTGACTATATATAAACCAGTAACATAGTCATTCATTATTGAGTATTATGCGCTGTATGTAATTGTATATGTTATACTTTTATACAACTGGCAGTACAGTAGGTTTCTTTACACCAGCATCACCACAAACACGTGAATAATTTGTTGATGGCTATGATGTCATGAGGCAATAAGAATTTTTCAGCTGGGTTATAATCTTATGGGACCACCGTCATATATGTGATCTAATGTTGACCAAAATGTCGTTATGCAGTGCATGATTGTATATCATATTGTTCATTGTTATTATGCAATTGATTTTTGTATATTGATATTGTATCCTGAAATAGGTTCTAATAGTTTTGTGGATTCCTTAGGATTTTCTATATGACCATATCATCTGTGCACAAAGATAGTTTTACTTCTTTCTTTCCAATTTGGATTCCTTTAATTTCTTTTTCTTGTCTAATTTCTAAGGCTAGAACCTTCAGTACAATGTTGAATAGAAGTGGGGAGAGCAGACATTCTTGTCTTGTTCCTGATCTTAGGGGAAAAGCAGTCTTTCACCATTAAGTATGATTTTACCTGTGGGTTTTTTGTAGACACCTTTTATCATGTTGAAGAAGTTCCCTTCCATTCTTAGTTTGTTGAGTTTTTCGTGAAGGGGTGTTATATATTGTCAAATTCCTTTTTTAGCATCTATTGAGATGATCATGTGGTTTTTGTCTTTTTGTATTAACCAATGTAATATAACCAACCTTGTTAAACCAACCTTGCATTTCTGAGATAAATCCCACTTGGTCATGGTGAATAATCCTTTTCATGTGTTGCTGGTATCAGTTTACTTGTATTTGGTTTAAGATTTCTTTGCATTCATATTCATAACAGATGTTGGTCTGTAGTTTTCTTTTCTTGTTTTGTCTTTTTCTGGTTTTAGTATCAGTAATAGCGGCTTTGTAGAATGAGTTGGGAAGTATTCTCTCCTCTTGTACTTTTTCGAAGAGTTTGTGAAGGATTGGTATTAATCTTTAAATTTTGATTTTTTATGGCTTCCTTAGTAGTTTACTCTTTGCTCTTGTCAAATTACAGGTGGTTCTTGTAAATGGGGGCAGGAAGGTGGTTTTTAGAGCGATCATCCTTTGTAGGACAATTGACTGAAAGTACAGGACTCCAAATAAAATTGTTGAGTCTTCATTTTCTCTCCCAAATTCTACTAAGCAGTACTGGATACTCCACCACCAGAGGACATGCTTAATTGCAGAAACAAATTAGAAGGCTTTTATATCTTGAATTCAGAGCTACTGTTGGAAAATGCCTTTTGGTGCTATTTTCATCAGTGGAGCCATGGGTTCATGCCTAGCTAACTGCAGTGTAAGAACTCTTACCTGTAACTTATTAGTAAAAATTTGTTTAAAAACATTATTTAAAATAGCCTATTAAGAAGTGTTATACTGACCTCCTCTCGAGTAAGAGAGTCTGAGAACAAGGAGAGTTTGTTGAATCCCAGACATAACGTAAGGTAATATGAATGGTAAATATTTAGATTGTCTTTCTCCATGTTTTAAAATACTTTTGACTATTAATCACTCTACTAACTCAGTGGGAAAAATTAGCACTGAAGAAATAATAATAACAGCGAATGTTTACTAAATAATTACTATAAATCAAATATGGTTTTAAATCCTGTACATATACTATCTCTTTTATTTCTCATAGCAATCTTATGAGGTCAATACTAATATTATTGTCCACTTTACATATGTGGAAACTCAGAAACAGAGAGGTAATCTAAGTTGCTTGGTGTTATGCAGGTAGAGAATGGTAAAGCCAGAATCTGACCTAGAATATGTGACTCCATAGCCTGCCCTGAACCAGAAGTTAGAGGGGAGAAGGCATGTTCCAGAGCAAGGATTCAGATTTTTAGGGTTTCTATATTATAGGTTTTGAGTTTATAAGTCATTTCTCTCTCTCCTGATGGAGAGTAACATTTTCAGTCAACATTTAAGAAACGTTCATAAAAGGTGTACTCAGATGGTACTAAGAATTTAAGATTAGACAGTCTCTCTCTGCAGGAATAATGTAATAGGTCAGTTAATAAAATAAATATTTAGCATTTATTGAGTGCTTACTATGTTCCAGGGTAAGTGATTTACTTGTATAAATTAGTCAAATATGCAAAGTAACTCTATGAAATAGGTATTATTATTATCGCCTCCATTTTTAGATGAAGCCACTAATGCAAAGATATGTAACTTTGCCAAGTCAATTAGAAATAAGTGGCATAGCCCAGATTTGAACCTGGATAGTCTTGTTCCAGAGCCCCTGTTCTTAATCACTTTGCTATGTAATTTCTCTAAGTAAGTCACCTGACATGTGGTCACAACAATATAGTCACACCAAGAAAGCAATGATAAGACTAGATCACTGTGTTTTATGCATGTGGAGGTTGGAGTCACTTGTACAGGAGAGAAATGTGTTGTGACTGAAAGGAGGAGAAAGGCTTTTTTGTAAGTATGAGGTAGTATGAAGCAAATATGGAAATATGAAAAGAAAAGTGAATTTTAAAAAGGAGGCTATTAGCTTGTGCTTTAACAGAAGATGAGAATAGACTGAGAGGATGTGGTGTGCGCTCAGAAACTGTGCCTGCTTGGTCCTAAGGGAATTGTGATCTGGGAGGGTTTGAAGTTGTACCTCAGGGGTAAAAAGGGACAGTTTCAAAGATGAAGTTTAGAAAATGAGTTTGCTATACTCAAATAGCATGTACAGAGATCGAATCAATAGTAGATTAATATAAACTTCAATCACAAGTGTTTCTGATAATGTAAGAAGCTTCTGGAAATTAGCAGGAAAGACTTGGCCAGTTGGGGTAATATTTCTCCATTAGTACCGAAATTATAATAGTTTTCTTTTTCTTGTGATAGTAAAATCAGGAACCTGAGTTTGTTCAGTACTTTTTCTCATGGGAACGCAAACATTTCCCATTGTTCTTCAGTTTTCCTGCGAGGCGTTCTGCCACCAACGCAGGGCTACGTCTTCAGACCTCGGTGTTTGAGTGAGAATAGAGTAGCACCAGAGCCAGTCAGTGACCAGAGAGCTGGGTATATCCAGGCCAGTTTTCTTCCACATGTGCGGGTCTCCTGATGGGCTTTGGAGCTCTCTTGGTCTTCTTGACCACGTGTTCCCCTTTGGTCATGAAGGCACTGTTAATGTTCTTCTGAGTTTGAGGCAATTTGCAACTTTAAAAGATCATCCAAATTATCAAAATAAATTTCATGTAATATTTTCAATGAGATGGTTATTAAATTCAAGTTTCTATTTACCAAAAAGAAAAATCACATTCACATCAAAAGCAAATAAACCAATATTGCCCACCTGTCCTTTTCTTCATATGCAAACAAAGATCAGTGAAAGTCAAATGTCAAATGCAGACACTTTTTAAAAGATATTTTTGGTCCATTTCCACTTTTAGGGTAACCTGGTGGCTTCTTTTCTCAAGTCCTCACACAGGTGTCCAGGAATACCAGGATGGTGTGCCAAAGATCCCAACAGCCTGTATTACAGTGGAAGATGCAGAAATGATGTCAAGAATGGTTTCTCGTGGGAACAGAATTGTCATTCAGCTAAAGATGGGGGCAAGGAGCTACCCAGATGCTGATTCCTTCAACACTGTAGCAGAGATCACTGGTAGCAAGTATCCAGAGCAGGTGAGTGAAGGAGGCAGATGGGCTGTCTGGGAATAGGGTGTTGTGGTCAAGTTTCAGTTTTTTAGAGATAGTTTGGGAAAGAGAGAACATGAATCTGCAGAGATCGTCCTCATAGACCCATCAAATGCAGATACTTCATATATATTTTTTCCCATTAAAAGTTTTACTACATTGACTAAAAAAGACAGGACTAATTGAAGGATGAAATGGGATCCGTGGTGTGGAAATTCAACCTCTGAATAGCTGAGGGCAGTGTTTGTACGTTTGTGTTGTATTTATTCCATTTGGAGCCATCTTGGCATTTGAGATCACACCAATAGCTAATAGTTATTATACTTATTACGTGAATTATTTTACTTGATCCTTCTAATACTCACTCAAGTAGGATCTATTTTCTTCATTTCACAGGTGAGGAAACTAATATAGAGGGAAACTCACTTGCCTAAGTTCCACACAGCTAGTAACTGCCTGAGAAGGGACTCATATCCAGGACCTTATGAGTATTAAACCAAGCTTTAAACCACAGTTTATGTGCAATTTCCAGAGTTTTTTTTTTAAAAAAAATTCTTAGCAAAGTTTGAAAATCAGATAGTCCTAGAGGCAGATCTAGACTCTATACTAGATGAAAGTTAAATAATTTTAGCAAGTTTCTTATTCTCGGAGTCTTACAGAACTTATCTGCAAAGGAAGAGATGATGCATGTAACTAACAGGATTATTGTGAGGACTAGATTAGATAACGCACATCAAATAGACTAGTACAGTATTTGGCACATACAGGTGCTCATTAAATGTTTACTTTCTATGATATCAAGTGTGCAAAACCCAGTTTTTGTGAGGTTTCTGGTACAAATTTCCTTTATCAGGAGTTATTGAAATTCTAAAAATAACACTTAAAAATAAAGCTATTCAGGAATTTCAGACTTGTGCTTTGTTTAAGGAGATCAATGGGATAAAGGAAAAAGTGAATAGTGATGGAGTTTGATGATGGAGAAACAAACTTTCTGCACATGTCTTGACTCAGGGCCTCTCCCAGTACAGATTAGTTTTATGTTCAGGACCCTTTTCTCCCATCCCAAATTACCTGCTTCAAGGACCTGGGTATGCATCAACATTGGGGTTGTAACCACAGAGATAATGGAAAAGCAGGATCTCAGTTGGAGCATAGGATGTCAGATAGCTATGGAGAAACTACAGTTTCAGATGTTGAGAAAATGAACAAACAAGCCCAGCCCCTTGCTTCTTTAGGAAACTGATAACAACATAAGAGCCAAGAGTCTATATTACAGATACCCAATAGTCAGACTCCTTAAGGTGTGACCCTTACAAGTATTCTCCTCAGTCAGTAGTTCCAGGAGAAGGTGTTGCCATTTTAAAGTTGCTAGTCCAGGGCGGAGGCAGTTTGGGATTACACATCATCAATTGTCTGGGTGATTGGGCTGCTCTGAAGGTGAGTGGCAGGGTGAGTGTGTGTTATTAGGAGCCTTAATCTGAAGCAGCCAGGGGGTGTCAGGGTCTGAGGCGAAAGCATTAACACAGATAAGTTCTTGGGGCTGCAGCAGCCAGAGGGCTGAGGTAGTCCTGACTCAGACAGCTTTCCACGGGCCACTGGCATCTTCCAGGTGAGAATGCTCAGGCCTACTCCTCAGCCTACCCTGATTTTTTTTAAAAAAAATCAGCTTTGTTGAAGTATAATCTACATAAAGTAAGTTTACTAAATTTAGGTGTATAATTCCATAAGTTTTGAAAAATGTATACAGTAATCTAACTGCTAACACATCATCAGATAAAATATTTCCATTGCCCTTGTGCCCCTTGCCATCCATCTTCTCCTTTACTCCCGTCCCCCCGGTAACCGCTCATCTGCTGTTTGGAACTATAGTTTTTTCTTCTCTAGAATTTCATAAAAGTGGAATCCTAGAATGTGCAATCTTTCGTGTGTGGCTTCTTTCACTCAGCATAATGCTTTTGAGATTTATCCATGTTGTTGTATTAGTTGTTCATTCCTTCATATTGCTGAGTACTGTTTCATTGTGTGGATATACCACAATTTGTTTATCCATCCAGCAATGTTGGATATTTGGGTGGTTTCTAGTTTTTGATGGTTAGAAATAAAGCTTTTGTGAATATTCTTGTACAAGTCTTTCTGTGAACTTATGTTTTCATTTCTCTTTGGGTAAATGCCTAGGAGTAGAATTTCTGGGCCAGCCTTAGTTTAAGCACTCTGATCTCTGTCAAGAAGCTTCCATCTCTGTATTCTGTGGGGGTAGCACCTTCCCCAGGTGGGTAGATTCCAGAGAGGTCTCAGGACTCAGGATTAAATTTTCACCTCTACTGTAGTGTTGCACAGCATTCCTAGAGTTAGTTATAAATACCTTGTTACCAAGGTGTAAAAGGTAGAAGATCAACGAAAGTTCTCCCACAAAGAAGTTACAGCATTACTTCCACAGAAAGAATGTAGATGAGTGCAGTGAAGTGAAGTCCACGTGGCTGTGCTTTATGGAGGAATTGGCCTCATAGCCTGCCTGGAACCAGAGGAGATGTCCACACTGTGAAGGGAGATGGCAAGCGAGTGTTCTCCCCGCCAGGTGGGAGGCAAGTTAATGAAGCTGAGTAAGCCCAGTGCACCCCTGAGAAATGCTGCCTCCTCCATGAAGGCTTCTCTGGTAACCATCCCATCATCCCAACACTTTATGCCACTCTTATGGTGTCATCAACCACCAGAGCTTGCAAATGCCCTGAGAAGACACTCTGTTTACTTTATTTCTTTTCTTCATTGTGCATATCCCAGGACTTGGCATACGGTAGCTTCTCAGCACATATTTTGTTTCAGTAAAATGAAGAAAGGAAATAAATGAGAAAATGGTTGGAAGATTTTCTTAATCTCAATTCTCTTTAAATCCAGAAGTTTTCCTGCCCATTTAGAACACTGATTATCCATTGGCACATTGGGCATCACTCCTAAATGCAGCTCTATGTCTCCAAACTGGAACACCTCAACTCCTTCATACCTGATTCCTACCTTGGTTTCTTGTCTCTGTTAAAGGAACCATATCTGCCTATCAGTACGGTTAGAAAACTTCAAGTTATTTTCCATCCTTTCTTCTTTATCAATGGCCTACAGCCAGGAGCCACATCCTATTTCAGTCTACTTTCAACATATTTAAAAAAAAAAAAATGTGTTCCTGCCTTGCCTTTACTGTCATTATTGTCCTAATTCAGGTTCTTGCTGTTTCCCTCCTGATTTTTTTCTTCTGATCTCTCCCCTACTTCTGTATTTTTGCAGTGCAGCTCAGAGTTGTCTTTTAAAGATCGCCACATGGTGTTTCCCTGCTTCAGGCCCTCTCTCCCATCCCCTATGAGATAAAGGTTATGATAAAGATAAATGCTGGGGTGAGCGATCAACGGTGAGCAGAAGACAGAAGAAAAGAGACAAAGAGAATGGGGAGTTTTGGACGGCTAGATGGGAGGGAGAGGCAGTTATAGTTGAGGAAATTAGATAGTACTATTCATAAATGAGCAGAAAATGAGAAGGAAGAATGCGGGAAAGGAAATGTCTGATGGAGATTCAAATGCCAACTAAGCATTGTTCTTTCATTGGCTGTGAGGAAATTCAGCTCTCCTAAACGCTGACAAACTTTCCTAAAATCATTCAACTTTATTTTTAATTATCAGTAATGCTAACAGTGACATAAATGTTGGTCTTGATAGTTTAGGTTGACCAACTTATCAGTGACACATCATTGCTGTCTTGCTGTCTATATCATACTAAAGAATAGTGCTAAATGCTGACCAAATCAGTTGCAATGGAAATTATCTCTAAAAAAGAAGAGAGTATATTGAAATTACCATTATTTTGCCTGCAGGTTGAACATCCTGGGTGACTTGAAGGTGAACTAACACTCATGCAGTGGCTGGTAGACACTTTAGTGCTAATACCTAGCATATCCCCTTACATCTTATTATTCATGTACAACACATTTACGAAAGGAAAGCAATTAGCACATGTAGAATCGTTCTGATTTGGCCCAAGAACCGTGAACAAGGTGTGAATTTCAGCTCTGGAAAAGTGTGTGTGTGATTGATGAAGCATTAATATTTTCAAAACCCTATTGCATAATCCAGCCATAAGCCTGGACTGAATTAACCACAGGCTTTTAAAAATGCCAGTAATACAAACACTTTATTGGGTTTCAACTTGTGAAAATGGCAGAGAAGGGGTATTATACACATTAATCCTACCCTCTTCCTGAACAACCCACAGTGGCATGTTTTGGCTCCTCCAAGCCCAGAAATCTCTCTCTGCTTTGACCTCTTCAGAAACTGCTCCTCTGTGATATGGGCATGTTGTGGAAAATTCAGCAGACTTTGAACACTTCAAGGGGCTGCATTTTATTGGGGGAAAGCAGTCCTCTAGAAGCTCTGACATTCAGCCTCTGAACTCCTCCCTCTCAGACAGCTTTATCTCTGGGAAACCATTTATCTTTGAGGCCCATCTGTGGTTGAGAATGAGTGTGAGAGAGTGACAATGAGACCTCTTTGACTTCTGAGCTGATACTCCCTGGTGCTAAAATAGCAGTATTATTTCTATTCCCCTGTCTTAACAAACTAATTTGCATTGGAAAATTCATATGAAACTTGTTTCCGTCCATAAATAGGTTTCATTTTTTTATCAAACCAAAGGAGGTTATTCCAACACTTAGAGAGTTAGGGGTCTTAGCCATCTAGTACCAGTTCCCTGACCTTCAGATGAGGAAACCCAATCCATGGGTGACTTGTCCCAGGGGACACAACAAATATGTGATAGGAATGTATCTGGAATGTGACTCCAGATTTCCTGACCTCCATTTCTTTCTACTCCAAAGATATTCCATTATGCCTGGGCACACCTTAGCTGGATAGCATCTAAATCTGAGGAATGTAGGTTGATTCAGGATGCAGGCAGTGCTATTCCTACCAAGTCATTACACAGGAGAGATTGTGCCTTTCTTTCATGTTTTT